GAGCTGGACACACACACACACACACACACACACACACACATAAATAAATAAAATTAAAAAAAATACTTAAAGAAAAACCTCTGTGGGCTACTGTTGTAAGCACTGTTGTGAGTTCCATGCTAGTTTCTGGGCAAATACACCAGCATAAGGCATTCTATGTAGTGCCTGATTTGGCAGTACATGTACTAAAATTAGAATGAGACAGAGAAGATTAGCATGGCCCCTGCACAAGGATGACACGTGAATTCATGAAGTGTTTCATATTTTTAAGTCATTCCATCTTTCACTCAGGATGGATGTGCAAAGTAACAGTTCACAGACCTCGGTGATGTGAGTACTGTTGCTCAGGTATGACAAGTTGCTAATATTCAGAAGGGACAGGTGATAATTCTTGCTTCTCATGATGCATGTTTCTGTATGTTAATGACTTGTTGGGTAGCTACTAAGGTACTAGAATTGATGAATGTGTACAGGGTCCTTTTGCAATAAAACTGGTTATAACTTAAAAAAAAAAAGACCTTCCATTTAGCCAAGCATGATGTTGTATCCCTGTAATACAAGCACTCTAGGAGGCTGAGGCAGCAGGATCAAAAGTTCAAGTCTGTCTGGGAAATTTAGAAAGACCCTGTCTCAAAAAATGAGGGGCTGGAGATGGAGTTCAGTGTAAAGGCCCTGGGTTCAATCTCCAGGACAACCAAAGGAAAAAAGAACGAAGATGTGCCACTTGATTTGGAAGAAGAGCTAAGATGTTGACAAAGATAGATTGTCTTGACACCATTCTAAGAAATCTTACCGAGTTTAGCTTGTGGTTTCCCAGACTGTTTTATTTTATCATTCTCTGAACTATGTTGTTGTTGTTTTTCTTGTGGAACTGAGGATTGAATTCAGGCCCTTGTGCTTGCCAGACAAGCACCTATTCTACTGAGCTATCTCCCTACCCCGTCTTTTTTTTTTTTTTTTTTTGGAACAGGGGACTGAACTCAGAGCCTTGCACTTACTAGGGAAGCATTTATTCCACTGAGCCATCTCCCCAGCCCCTGAACTGTCTTTTTGTTTTTTTAAAGTTTTATTTATGTGTGTGTGTGTGGCCAGCTCAGCCCACCAGGGGGCGGGGCTGGCTGGCATGTGGTGCTGGGGGATTGAACCACGGTCCCTGTGCTTTGTTAAACTT